GGCCCGGCCTGGCTCTCGGCGGCCCTGTATGTTATTCACAAATATAAATTAAATATAAGTGAACAACCCAAATAGTGAGCAATTATTAATTACATGCGAGTAGAATAATATACATTGTCCACTACTATTAATTTCTGACACACTGATAGCATGGATACGAATATGTTGTCATCGTGCAAAATTTAATTAGTCACTCAATTTTTATGGTAATAAATTTAGGAAATCGTTTTTTGACGATATCAAATTATTAAGTAAGAGTTTTGCGCTTGCCTTCCACCTATAAAAGCCTACTCGATAAATCCTGTAATAAACTAATTAAAAAGAACATAAAATTGTGTTTCAAATTGAAAGGCTATTAAACATTGAATTTGTACACTCACGAGGTTATGTTAATGCTGAAAGGAATTTTTTTTTTTAAGTTAGAATTATGCTCTTCAACGTTATTAAATTACTATAATACCCGGTATGTCATATGTTTCTAACCAAATAATATCTAAATTAATTAGCAAGATAAAAATAAAGAAAATATGCTTTATATAAAATAGAAAAATATTTTACAGGGTAAACTCAAATCAACCCCTTGTCAAACCTTCCTCTAGTGACCTTCAGTTTTCATACATATAGTTTTAAAATATTAAATAAATTTGGATCTTACGCGAAGAATATACAACATAACAGCATAACGATAATTTTTGCGCGACCTTTAACGAACTTCAGAATAGAACTCGTATCTTATTTTGGTATACGTTATATTAGTGAGACGTAATTTTTGTTCAACTAATAGTTTACTTTTAACAAAAACAAACCATGAAATTGACATATAGTTACGTTTTAAGTTTTTTTTTTAATATTGTTTGTAGGTCGCAAAAAGTAGAACCACAAGTTTTCCAGTGAAAATCTAAAAAAATATAAACAAAAATAAAAAAAAAATATAAAAACTTACTAAAAAAAACATCAAAGAGAAAAATAGAATGTTAAAAATAAACTTGTCTGGCCGTAGCTTATAATAATTTATCTAGTTAAAAATAAGTCATTTAAGGCGGTTGCACAATAGGAGTTAAACTATAATCTTAGTTTAAACTGTGAACCTCGTTGTATAATCATCGGTTATTGTTAAACACAGTAAAATAACATTTGTACGTTGAATATAACCAGTTATCAGCTAAACTGAGTTTACTGCATTCTTTGTAAAACTCGCTTTTAGCATAACAACATTCTTTGACGATTAATTTTTTGATGAAGTTGATTCAAAAGTTGCAGTTGCAGACGTGTTAATAAAATAATTCATCAGTAAGTAGATTTGGAGTGCCTTTGGAGATCCACAGTGACCAAGGCAGTAATTTTGAAAGCCATTTTTTATGACGAATCTATGACAGACTAGGCATGAAGAAAACAAGAACTATGGCATTGCAGCCACAGTCAGATGGAATGGTAGAGCGAATGAATAAGACCATTGGCAAATACCTGTTAAAAGTAGTTTCCAACCATCAGCGAGATTGAGATGAATATCTTTCGCTCTTCGCAATGGCACATAGATTCGCTGTCAATGAATTTACAGGCCAAACACTAGCAGAGGTGCTGTTCGGGAGTGAGATGAGACGACCGTGTGACCTCGAGTTTGGATGCCGACATGAAGAAGACATAGCAGGTAAAGATTTTGTGATCCAGCTACGACGAAAAATGGACGACATGCATGAGTTAGTTCGCTCGCATCTTCAAATCGCCAGCGACAGAATGAAGAAGCAATACCCAAGCCACAGAAGGATGTTTCAAGGAAGGCGACAAAGTCTGACTCCATAACCCATAAAGACATCAACGACGCTCGAGGTCTGGCATCTGTGTTCCGGAAGAAGTTTGGTCGGTTGTCCGAACTTCAAGGTTAGTCACCAGCCCCTGAAAAAACAGTAAAACTTCTAGATGGATCGCGTTATCTTTTCTATTTCATAACAAAGAGCATCTTCCGAGATCGATCCACTTATCATGATGTATAGGAAGCATTACTTAGTCTAAGGGAGCATGTACTGGAATCCAATGTACAGAAACTAGCCATGCCAAAGATAAAGAGCTGAAATGGAGGATCATTAGAAACATGGTGGAAATAATCTTCTAAAATACCCAGGTTGAAATACTAGTCTGCAGCCATTCTCCCAGCGTTCAGGTTGTAGCGAAGACCATCCCGTGTTACTTCCATGCAACTGGAAATTGTAAAAAAGAGGTTCCAGTTGCAGATACAATCATTTAGTTTTAGTTCCAGGAGGAACTATTTCTTTGGGGGGCAATTGTTTACTCCTTGTTCGCGGTATGTCTAGAGACAAAGCACCGCTTCGAGGGGTTAATGATAGAGGCATGGAAATAATTTAAAGGGTTTTCCCTTCGACAAATAAATTGACGTGCTAAGAAATTCGTTATCGTTGGCCCACTCTGTATAAAATTCTGGTGTCCGATTTTGATGAAATTTTTGTACTTATTGGATCACCTGGATGGTTCTTAGCAATAGTTGGACCCGGTAGATGGCGCTGTTGTCGAGATCCAGGTCTATGGCAGGACAACTTCTGCCTACAGGGCCCGCTAGTTATTTGTAAACTTATATTACCGATTAAAAAATTTTAACGAACAGTGTGAGGTACACATATCCTTTTTTGATAAATTTGGTAACACAAAATAATCATTTTCGTATCAGATTCTTATCTGATAACACAAAGTAGCCTAATTATTTTATTAAAATCATGTGTGCTATGAAATGTCAAACGTTAAATAATTATCTAGAAGAGATCTGTCATTTTATTCCACTAACTAGAAATTACTAAATATTTGATTTTGAAATGTAAAGACGTCATTTCAACAGACGCTGCTCTCCCCCATAGCCACTCAACTGCCGTAAAAACCACTCAATGTAGTGGAACCCGAGAAACTCAACAAGACACAACACACAACCTCAGAACCTCTGATCGTGTCCCAGGTGTTCAAAGTCGGGTCTACATTCTACATTCCGAACTGCCCAACCGCTATTGTGAACAGGTGTTCGAATTCAATACCTTTCACACCTGTATCGTGAACCTTGCACCATGTCATAGCTCATATTGTTGGGTACCTGCAAAGAGAACCGCGATAGCCCATAGCAACGGCCCTCCCACCGAACCGTCGGGAATCCCGTTTTTGACTTTTCTTATTATTGCTCTGATCGAAAATCAATGCATTAGCAATTCACGGATAAAATTAAAACTAAAGTTATACATAATTTGACATAAAAAAATATAATATTCATCAATTAGTTTTAAAATTTTGATTTTGTGAGGATTTATTTTTGTTAAAGAAGTGTGCAATTTATGTAATTTTTCCTACTTTGAGTTTCCAAGAAAATATACTATAAATTTCGTCAATAAATATGTATTTTTCTGTCGGTGTTTTTTTATTAACCCCAACAAAAATAATTAGAAAAATCCTATCACAAATTATTTGCTTCTTCTTTGTTCCAAATTGTCCATTTAGATTATATTCGTGAATATACATTAAAAATACTGTAACGTTTATTTATTTTAAACAGTTTAATTCATTTATTTACACTTTATTCATTATTTTATTTACAACTTAACGCAACACTAATTTATTTCAAATACTTATTTATTAAATTACTTTGACAGCAAATATCTTAACACAAAAACAAGATTTTATTTTGGAACAAATAATGCTAAACATTTTATTTTAGAAATTTTCTGTCACTGATTTATGATGTTATATTGGGGTTTATCTCCTAAGTCATACAAATTTTGATCTTTTTCATTTTTAAATAAACTATAGACCTTTCTCGAATTTCTCAGACTGTAAGAGGCCTAAATACGGCGGAGAGGGACTTAAGCGATTAGCACATGTTCTTAACAGTCTAAAATGGCTCGCGTTACAATACATACTTGTTCCAGGCTTTCCGAATGGAAAGAAACTTGTAACACTTTGTATTTATTTTTTTTTAATCTTCTGGATATTTATATTTGTTTTGCTGATAGCTAAAACTACTTTTATAAAGCTCTATGCCGATTCTGAGTAGCTCAAATTATTTTGCATTTTACGTTATTAACAATTAAATCTAAAAAGTGTTTCAAATAACTCGACTTTGCGGCATTCTAGAAAGACCCCCAAAAAATAGGTGTGCTCTGAAGTAAAACCACCTCATTTAGATAAAATTATAGTTTATTTGCAATAATTAGAACTATTATACGCCATAAAAGTGTGACGTAATTTTGGTTCCACTAACAGTTAATTCTAACCAAACTTTTAATATTTGACATATACGTTTTTACTTTTTTATTAAATATCGTGTGCAGGTCATAAAAAGTAGTTTAAAGGTATGTAATTGGTTACTAAATGATTTTAGTTTTGATACATGTTATCTACTTACTCTAGATATTAATATATTTATAAAGTTTTAAAAATAATATACCTAATTTAGGAAAACAAAATGAACAAATCACACTCAAAAAAAAAATCCTGTCACTGTAATTGTCAGTGGAACCAAAATTACGTCATCACTAATTTAGCGTATTACCATTTTTAAATAAATAAACGATTAGATGTTTTGTCTCATATAATGCTCAAAGGCACTCGCGTATCGGGGACAATACTAATCATTTGTAACTGCTGTGGTGGGAGGTGTTTGTGTGAAGACGTCTTGTTTGTTTTCATTTACACCGTGACTAGCAGTAGTATTTTATAAACCTTAGAAGCAAATTTCACATACATGAACAAATAATAATAATGCCGTGACAACAAGAAGACGAAGTAACGCCTTCTCGTATCCATACCTGGCTACGCCGACCGGCATAAACACCAAGGGCCTGGACACAGCTCATATAGTCTGTCAAAAGGAGACCGATTTACAAATAAAACGCGTACGACATGCGCACTACAAATGATTAGTGTTGACCCCGATACGCGAGTCTCAAAGGCCGTACACCGTAGCCGGATGTCCAGCAAGCGAATCCTAAATTTTTAATATTTGTTTTCAGGAACCCTGCAATCCAAAAGCCTGCCAGCGAGACACCGACAGCCCTAAGCCAGTGTGTGGTTCAGACGGTCTCTCATACCCGAACAGATGCATTTTCGAAAAAGCCCGCTGTCAAAACAAAAACATCACCGTAGGAAAACGAGGACCATGCAAAAAACAACGTCCCTGCTCAGAATGGAGCGTATTTAATGAACAAAACTCAATGTACAATAACAGGTAGTCCACAAGTTTTTTATATGGCTTAATTTAGTTTACAATTCCAATTTTCTGCATTTTCACTAATACTTTCTAAATTATTCACAAAAGAACAAGCTGTCTTAATTGAAAGCTAAAACAATCTAACCATTTTAAAAATAATAAATTACATAAAAATTACCAAACATTAAAGTGTGTATACCTTCATACTAGGTATTTCCGAAAATATTTATGTATACCTAGAACCACAAACTATATCTACCTGACAAGAGTTTATGGTTTGCGATACGGATTATTCATTGATAAATTTACCCACAAATAAAATTAGGAACTAATAATGTAAAATAATGTTTAAAAAGCAATTGTTATGTGTAATATGCCAATATCTTTAAAAAATGCAAATAAATCTTTATTTGCATAAACTATGCAAAATGCATATTTGCCTAAGTCTAGTATCATCGCGCTTTCAATCGAAAGACATGCTATTCAGTGGTATACGGATTGTTCCAAAACCATAGAAGGAACTGGAATAGGAGTGTATGGGCCGAGAACCAGCACTCCAAAAGCTTGGGAAAATACCCAAGAATATTCCAGGCGGAAATTCACGCCATCAAGAAGTATATATAGTTTAACATCGAGAGGAACTATCGTAGACAAGAGATTATCGTCATGTCCGATAGCCAAGCAGACATCAAAGCGCTGAGCTCTTACGTAATCAGCTCAAAAATGGTCTGGAGATGCCTAGAACAATTGAATGAGCTAGGCGAGAAAAATAGAGTTGCTGTCATTTGGGTCCCGGAACATAACGAGGTACAGGATAACGAGATTGCAGATAGTCTCGCAAGGAAAGGGGCTCAAACACCCTTTGTGGTACCTGAGCCGTTCTGCGGTATCAGCAGTAACATAATATTAGGATAGATTAAAAAATAATTGGGCAGTAGAAGAACCGATAATTGGAACAATCTCTTGGGACTGAGACAGGCTAAGATACTTCTGTGTGAATATCGGAAGCAAGAACACGCTACGTATTGTAACAGGGATTCTTACTGGACATTGCCGACTAAAAGGACACCTTAGTAAACTGAGAGTAGTAGAAGAAGACAGTGAGTGCAGATTCTGTAAGGAGGAGGAAGAAACCATTCATATTCTAACTGAATGTGTAGTACTCCAGAATCCAAGGGCACTATACCTAGGAGCATATATAATAAAAGAAGGACATTTACCTAACTTGAAGCCACTCCAAATGCTACACTTCCTTGAGAAGATAGGATTGGAAGGGTCGTTATAGGCATTGAGGCATTTCCTTGCTGCATTAGCGACAGAAGGGGCACAATAGATCTTTCAGATCGCAGTGTATTAACACACGATTCCCAACATAACATACCTCGTCGAAAAAAAAAACTATGTTGCAGATTATTTTGCATCTCCTACTGAAATCACTAAATCTATAACGTTAAATTAATTTACCGAAAAGTTCTTGGATATTTAGTCGGCACAAACTATGCAGGTACTTTTTCTACATAGCCTAGGTCGGCACATATCTATGCAGGTACTCTGCGGTAAATAGCCCAGCTCGGCACATTTTTTTTCTTTGACTGAGAGACCACATAACTTCAATCATTTATTATATTTCTTATATGTTCATATATTATTAATTGTTTTTGTTTTAATAATATTTATTTTTGTTTTTTTTATGTTTGTAATTTTTTCATGAATAGACAATACTGAAATTATTATCTGTAAACCTTTTAATGAATTACCTAGGAGGTATTACTTTATCTTAGCATTTGTAGTACTATTGTAAATGTAGATATATCTTTATATATTTCATAATGAACAAATTGGGAAAAAAGATAAAAATTACTTATCAAAATGATAATTCATGATGGTTAACTGACAATTCTTTGATTGTCTCTAAACTACTATTATCTAATAGGACCTTAGAGTAAGAGTAGTCTATGTAATATACCTAAACTTATTTTTGAGATATAGAACATTTTAGGTTTTATACAGAGTTGCGTTGTGTTTTAGCATTAACACTAGGAGTAAGTAATTTTAGATAATTTTACAAGTACCAAAATAGACTTAATTTTTTATCTATAAAATGAAATGAAATAATTTATACAAAAACTGATTTAAGGATTACCGCTGTTGACTGTCATTTTCACTAAAATCACTATCACTACTTTCAGCTAGGATAATGATGCTCTTTGTGGAGTCCTTATTAAACATTTATTCTCAATATAAATAACATGTTTAATCACTTTTGCCCTATGTACGTTAGTAATTTTATTAAATGTATATTTTAATAAATTAATAACATTCTTACTTGATTTTAGAGTAATATTATTATCATCATGAATATTTTTTTAAATGAGCCCATAATAATTTTATGAGGTTAAAAATGCAATAATAAGGGGGCAACCGCAGAATGTCGTATCTATGACTTTTTATAATGTTGTCTACTATACATACCCATTGGTAAAATGTCCAACTTCTAAAACTACTAGTAGCTGCTTTTTAGTAGTCTCTTCAAAATATAAATCATTTTCCTTTAAAAATTGTTGGATCACAGGTTTAGTTGGAATTTTGCGAACTAATCTGGAATGATAGAACGCGTTATCTAACACAATAACACTGTTATTCTGTATTTTTAGAAATAAATCATATTCTATTTATTTTTCAAATAAATCTCCGCCAATATCTTGATGATAATCTAGACTACATTTTTTTATAGCCTTAGCCGATAATAATAGAGCTTTCTCCATCCAACCAGATGCTCCTCCACAATGTAAGATACATATTCTTTTACCCCCGGGGGAACATCAGCTACGCATTTTTTACTACCATCAGACCAACTTTTTTTTGTAATTTCATGAGTGTCAAACCAAGTTTCGTCCAAATAATACACTGTTCGTCCTTCACTACGAAATTACCGAATTTTTTCAATATAATCTTATCTCCATTTTACTAATCGATATGATTCCATGATTCTTTGTCGTTTGTCCATCACTTTAAATCTAAAACCATGTGATCTTTTTTATTAGTTTGCTTAAATTTGGAAAGTTGTTTGCATCATGCATGTCATATAATGTTTGTCTGATAGGTTCCAATAAATACTTTGGTATACAACGAGAAGAACCGGAATCGTTTCGCTAATGCCGAGGTTCTGCTCCATTTTTTATAATTTTAGTTACTAATCAAGCAGACTTATTAGTTAAAAATATTGTCCGCTCCACAGCAGCAGATTGTAGTAACTCCAAATTAAGTTTTACAAATAAATAAAATTGTATTTATCAACAGATCCTCCCAAAAAACTGTTTATAACATATTCATACAATTTAATAAGAAAATAGATAAAACACGTTCAGCACAAGGATTTTCACCTTTCAATACAGCATATGTCGGAACGCCTATCTTTGTTCGATATACTTCGATTCCTATGTAATGTCTCTCTCTATTCAACACGTAGCGTGTTGAGTTCGCACATGAGAATCCCTGTGCAGAACAACTTGTCTAGCATCCACCGATAGATGAGTGCGCTTTTTCTTTATCAAAGCCGGCACATTATTTTAACAACACAAACTACAATCGACAAACTACAAAACAGAAATAAATCAGGTTTGTTAACGATGGTCGATGGTCAGTTCAAGAGTGTCCTTTCAACTGCATAGATCATTACAACAGTATTTCTATACAGACAAGAGCATTTAATTCTGACACTTATTCACTACCCACTTACTCAATACCTAAGAGACCACAATTGTTTATTAAAATTTGAACCGCTGTCAATAACTACAGTTATCAGCAGGGTAAAACAATTGGGTTTTTCCAAATCTTATAATTTGCAACGAACTATACATGACATTTTAAATCAAATATAACCCTGGGTTAGTTAATACAAGTAAATCTATTTTTTCTGAAAAATGAAATAAGAATTTACTTACCGATTGTGACTTCTTCCTGATATAGACAAAACTTTAATAAATTAAAGATTAATATAGCCACACACAAACTTAGCTTGTTAAGCTTACTTCAGTTGTTTTTTCTCTCTTACTCATTAGTAATATTTTTGTGTTTTTGATATTATATTTTTGTTATTTTTAATAATTAACTTATTAACTGCTTAAAACATAGAGTGATTGCATTTAAAAAATGTCAGCATGTCTCTCGTATAACTTTGATACATACGGAGTTCTGCAAGGTTCTTCTCTAAGCCTCATAGTTTCTTTAATTTACAGCTTTATCCCTAAGTGCCGACCGGACGGTTCTTATGACTCTGCCCAGTGCCATTTAGGTGCCAATTTCTGTTGGTGCGTCACGCCGGAAGGAGTTCCCTTACCTTATACGTCGTCGAGACGAAAAAATGACAACAGACCACCGAAATGTGGACGAAAAAAAACTAACAGAAGACGATCGTCGCCGGCGAGTAGGAGACAGCAGAGGAATAAGATATGTAAACGAAATGAAAAGTCATTGCTGAATAATAACCTGATCAATAGCTTTCAAACGGAGTTTATAAGGTAATTGATAGTATTTTTAGTCGTTAGGAATAATTACTTATTTAGTTCACCAATACATTACAGAATAAAAAATATACCTGTATGTATATAAAAAAAGGTAAAATTGTAGATTACTAAGTAACAGTAACCTTAAGTAAATAGGTTAGACACACTTTTTTATAAAATACATGTTTGTATTAAAAATGTTACAATCAGAATATAATTTATTATAGTTTTGGCAAAGCTGATCAATTAAAGCTTTAATGATTAGAAACAACCTAAAAATAAAAAAAATACCATTAGACCTCAAGGACAACCACTTAGTCTAAATGACAGTACCCAAATCATGTTAACGAACTCTCTTGGGGATAAGAATATTTTTACAAATGACAGATGACTTGAATCCATGCCAATACGATAAAGTCCCTGTTCAAATTGGAAATTGTAGGTAGTGACATATTTCGTATATCAATACGTTTTCTTAATGCCTAAAACGGCCAATAATCAAACCAATTGGCAATGATTAGAGGTAAAGCCAAATAAGATGCACATTGTTTTAAATATTTTGCAAATATATTCTTAATTCCAGGTGAGGAGTTTGATTGGATTTTATTGACATTGCCTCTGACTAACTGGGATGTTCCCTGCGGGTTCTAAGGAGAACACTTGGGAAAATGGTTGGCCAGAGCTGCGGTTGTTTCTTGATCATTATTACATAAAATTCCATCAGAATCCATTTTTTAGAAGGGCGACTGATACTTTGGAAGAGAGACTAGATGTTGTGTGGTGTTTAAATAGATTGTTAAGATTATCACAGCGATATAATTATATTATTCTTATTCCCTTCTTCCTTTGTCAATAAAATTTATTAAATCGTCGGAGAAACAAAAACCATAATAAAAAAAAACAGAAAATTGGCACCATAAGTCATCAGTAAATATAATTTTCCTAAAGCGTCATTGCCTGTACTAAAGACATTAGTAACCCATTGCCAGAATTATTGTTTTGAACTACAATTTTAACGATATTTTTAAATTTTTCGTTAAATTTCAGAGAATCCGGTCGCAACGACAGCGACAACGTTATCATCACCTGGAAATTTCGAATGCTAGACCAAAACAGCGACAATATTTTGGACAAATTCGAATACAGAGACCTGAGGAAGGTCGTACGAAAAGTAGTGAAACCCAAAAAATGCGCTAGGCAGTTTCCCAGAACTTGTGATGTGAATAAAGACGGAAGAATAAGTATCCAGGAGTGGACCGACTGCCTGACTAGAGATGGGCGCATGGATATGGACGGTAAGTTAAGAATAAAATATTTGAAATTAAGCGTAGATGTAAATTTGAATGATTTTATTAGATTTTTATATATATATTTTTTAAATTAGTAGAAATGCATCTATCTCTTAAGGACGGGGTATCCTTTTATGTGTATAAAAACCGTATGTATAGACTGATTTCCGAATATCTATTTAAATATCTAACTTGAGTCGTCTTTAAATTGAAAATTGATTTACAATGGTGTCGTATTATTTCCACGATTTCAAATACTTAAATAAGAAAAATAAATAGTAAGACGACCTACGATGTGGTTCAGGATTCAGAAATAATGTATATTTTCCTAAATCAGTCAATGTATAAGTCATTTTTTGGGAATGTCATGTCAAATTGCACAAAAGTGTTATATTGGAAAAAAATATTATATATCATCTCATTTTTTCTCAGTTAGTTCATCATACTGTAATAAAGATGGTGCTATTTTTAACCATGGTCTATCTAAATATATTTTAATTAAAAATGTTTGTTTGCGATAGAGATGATACTGACTGCTTACGAAATATACAATAAGAAAGTAACTTTCTGCTACCCACAACTAATACAAAATATGTAAAGAATTATTAATTACTAAATAATACTTAAAATAAAGATTTACTTAGATCAAGTTCAATATTTGATTATAATGACAATTCTAATGAGAATTTATTTTATTAGAAATGATCTTATACAGTACGTTAACCCACGCATTAAGCAATATAAAAATGAGACGCTTAATTATATTTGGACGTGAGAAAATAAAGAGAGTAGCTTAAACCACGCCCTTTCGATGGCAAGATGGTATATTGCTATCCACAGTCGGCGACGTATTATTTTATTTCTGCCTATTCAATAGCATTGTGTTTCTATACCGTTTCCTGGAGTCAGTATTGGAAAGTTAACGTACTGCATATAAAACCATTCTAAATTAAATAAGGCACTTAACAATTCACAATTAGCAAAAAATATTTAAAGGCATCTGCTGGGTTTAATTTTGAAAATTTCTATTGTAGTTTTTGTAAAGCCTTTCTTTTTAAATTTTTTAATTGGGAAATTTATTATAACACGCAAGTAAATGTAAAAATTAATTATTATTTTTAAATGCGCTGCATTAGTGTGACGGAATTTATATGCCAAACAAAAACAAACCATTCTGTCATTGATTTTGACATGCGTTTCGAGTACATGCACATATACATAAAGGTAACAAATAAACTACTGCCAGAGAAAACTAGAAAAATCCATACCAAATCATAAAAAGAAATAAAAAGGGATTATAGATTTATCATCTGATAAAAACAATTACGTCGAACTCGTAGATAAAATCTTGTATAACACACTTTCGAAAACACGTTTTTGTGAATATGTTGCAGGTATGCTAGTACCTAAATTAATAATATACCTATTTTTTGTAAGTTAACGAATGTATGAAGAAAATTAAATTAATGTATAAATTATTATGCGGCCCTGAAAATTACACAAATTGTCAATCAAAATTACCTTAAACTATAATTTAGTAAGTGCCACCATGAAAATTCAAATGACAGAAAAACCACGGTCTTTATTAAGCAATTTTTTTTTCTTCCGATACTTTAAATTCACAATTAATTATATTCTCGACTTGAAATTGAATTGGTGACTCAAAGAACAGTACTAGTCCAAAAATGGACGTTTTGAGTTAAGATAGCCAAATCGATATTAACATGTGTCTTCACCCATTGAGATAATAATACTCTCCTTATTCACCCCCTTACGAGTGAATTTTAACCCCAAAACTGAACTTGTGCGGGGAAAGGGACGGCTATTATTATTATTATTATTATTATTATTATTATTTACCGTGGAACTTAAAGATGATTGATGGTGCCATTTGACTTACAGATGAGGAAAACCCGGAAAACCTCACCCACCATCATCGAAAACGGTAAGGCATGGCGATTTTTAATAATCTGGATGTCATATCAACAGAAATTAAATGTCTGCTAATACAGCATCGTTCAAATCCTATAGAGAAACATGCTTATAAATTTACATGGTATTCCGTAGGATTCGACCCCGTGTCTCGTTTTATCAGAAAATTGGGTCGCAAATGAATGCCGTGACGTAGACATCTACGCTACTGTAGTCGATCAAATACAAGTACAAAGAGCAGTATAAGTCCAGGACATGTACCGTTTTTTACACTCATTAATGTCACTTTTCTCTGTCAAACTATAGGCAGTTTGTATATGACACCAGTGGATATGTGAAAACTTATGAATATATAGGTGGTCTGGTATCTCATAGCTTTAATATAATAAAGCAAAATAAAAATTGTCCAGACCTTTCTACCAAATGCGCACACACAACAAATTTCAATAATTGTGAAAAAAATAAATGACATAAAAAAGGTAATGCAATATATTACAGGAAAATTGCTGGAATTTTACTATCACGTTACCTCCTGGCCCACATTTGCAACCGATGAAACCAAAGAATGGAATGCTGAGTAAATTTCAGAGGGGGGGGGGGGCACCTTTGATCCCCCTAGCTATGTGCATGGGTTTTCCAAAAATATGTTATCGTATATTATCTATAATAAAATAGTTTATTTGGCAACCTTGCATTATTTCTAAAGTAGAGGCTACTAAAAATAAAATATAAATTATATAATTGACTTAAAAATATTTCTTATGCAAACCCTTTTTAATAGTTAAAACATAATTTCCTACACTTATCTTAAATAGCTTTACATTTGATATGTACATGTCAAATTTATATGTCAAATAACAAAATAGTTATTTAGTTTTTTTACTTTACTCAGAATGCCATTTTTGGACTAGTACTGTTCTTTGACTCACCGATTCAATTATATTCTTCCTCTCGTATTATATTAACCAAATTATAAATTTTATTTATTGTTAATAGTTATTAATTTTTTCAACAACGAATAAGTGACAGAACAAAAATTAAACCAGTTTATGGGGTCGAAAATAAGTAACTTGTTTTCATAAAAAATTGATAGATGTTAAAATAGAAATTGTAGAAGTGATTTTTTACTCTAACTCTAAAATGACTCGACATGTTTTTTTATGAAAATGTACAAGGGATGTTAACATACATTGACCAATAAAATGAATTAGTGGCGTTTAAAATTGTTTTAATTCTATAGGTTTTTAAAAGAGGTCCGCACCTTTTTGACTCACCTACTTTTTTTAGGCAATGAAATTCAGTTAGAAACAGGCCGCTACTGAAATCTGTTTAGAAATGTATTTGTCAGTATTTCTTTGTAAAAGCTTTAATTACCGAGTTATAGGCTCCTGGAGGAAGATTCTAGGTCATAGTGAAAAATAATCAATGAATATATCCTGAGTGCAATAACAACTTTTTGAAAATATTGTTACAAACCAAAATTTTAAAAATTACCGATTAAATTAGATACATGAAGGGTATGTTGAAATTATTTCACGAATAAAACACGTTAAGCGCCACGCCTAATGTGCTAACTATTCCAAAAAGTTACTTTTTTTATTAATTAAACACTTAATGCAATATTGTATAAGCTGTAGCACCGGCCTACTGGATGTACGTTTTTTATACAAATAAAATTTTTAATATAAACGTCAAAACTAAATCAAAATCATTTTAAAGGCCGTTTTTTGTATTATATTTACATGTAAGGGCGTAGTTTAGTCTATCTAAATTATATTAAATAAAATTACTAGATTCCCCTCATACATCTTTTTATTACTTACTAGTTGATAAGAATAATTATTAGCAAGACAGAAAGATACAAAATTACATTACATAAACCATTACAAAGTGAACATTTATTAATTTTAATTTCACTTACCAAGTACGAGATGCATATCTGCCATTTCTGTGAACGTGTAATTCATTTTCTATCGACACAAAAATTCAAAAATGTTTCACTAGCTACTTTACAGTAACGTTCTATCACATAGTTGTCAAAAACTGAATAAATGTCATCGCCTTCTTTGTTTCGTTTGAAAACGTAAGTGTAAATAACTAAATAAATATTTAATATGTATTTGATCAGTTGCATTTCATGTATTTCAACGAGTTAACTCAAAAGTAAAACCAACAAAATTAATACAATTTTTAACGTCACTACTTCCTATATTATACATTTTCATATGAGGTTGAAACGTTTTCGATTAAATAAATACACCCTTCTAAAATTTCTACTTTAACACCCTTCTAAAATTTCTACTATTCATTTTTTATACAAGGTGGCTCAACCAAAACTTACAGAATGTAAAATTCCAAATAGTACAGTATATCTAACCAAACACAAACAATTGTAGGAGTTAAAAACAATACAAAATAAATTAATATATTGTATATAAAAAAAATATTAAGAAAAGGAAGAATAACACAACACCGCGGGACGACACGAGTAAAACTTAGACATTCAGGTGTTGCAAGTTCCTTTTCAGCGCCAAAATATTACAATTAAATATATCACAGTCTGAGTAAAATTTGTTATAGTTCTTGCGTAAGCGATCAATAAATGCATTTTGTCCGTAATTGGTTCTGTGTCTTTTTCATTCAAAAGTGATGTGTACCGAGTCCGTCGGACAGGAACCAATAGTTGAAATCTCTCAAGCAGTGGCCCACATGTGATGGAACCACCTATTAATTTAGTCAGGAATAAGAGTAAAGCCTGTTTCTTCTGCATTCTAGGCTCTGCATGCCGCAAAGCATTAATCTTATTTGATAACATGTGTTATGGCTATGGAATCGGTGTTTAAAGAGCAGGTATTTTGCGAATTTATGTTGCACCCTTTCAATTCTATTGACATGACAGGTGTAAGTAGGTTGCCAAATAACAGAACAGTATTCCTGGCTTAAACTAGGTAATAAAGAGAGGACGCGTAACAAGTATATCGAGCACACGTAGTATTCTGTCCCGATTATCTACTGGCCGCCATTATTTTGGTGCTAATCATTTCGGTGACATCAACGTTTTTGTTCGTGTTTAT